GCCATGTGGAGCTGGAGTGTTTGACTAAGTTGAAAGAAGGCGTGTGTCTTTTTTTAACCTTTAGCAGGAAACTCTCCTTCAGGTTCAACTATTCATGGAGTGGCGACAGAATGTGAGTACATGTATGTATATATATGTGTGTGTTTATTCTGTCACTCACATGAAGTCTGATCATTTATTATTGTTTTACTTGATATACATTTTCATTTTATTTTATTTCTTTTTTTATGTTTGAAATAAAGAATTGAATTGAATGTTTAGATTACTTTTTGGATTTAACTAAACTGTGTGAAGGTAAAGATCTTGCTGCTCGGTTTGCTGCCAGAAAAGCAACACTCAGCTAATTCATCCATGTGCTTTATTCCAGCTACATACCATAACTGGACCTCTCATAGCGCTGCCTCATTAACGGAGGGATTTGTTTGCCAATATCTGCCCTGAAGGTTCCTCACTGGGCTTCCAGATGTGACATTTTTACTGTAGAGGGGATCCGGTAAATGTTGAAAATACAGCCATCGTTTAAGTTTACATAAAAACGTGGTGTGGTTTGAAGAGGATCCGGTAAAAAGAGTGAAAGAGCGCTGTGTCACAGCGACGACACCGTGGTGTGATCAGGATGCTGAGGTCAGGCAGCGACCTTGTTTTCCCGACTGTGACCATCCCAGCATTCCACAGCTCAGTATCAGCGATCCAGACTCAGCCGGAGCTCGCTCTGCGTTACAGCATGTTGGGCTTCTGCTTCATTCCTGATCAGCTGTGAGCTTGTACAGTAACCTGGAAGTGAATGAAGGAGGAAAGTAAAGAACCAGCTCGGAAAACCCACGTTTGTGACCAAAAGTCTGCAGGTTCTTCATTCCTACAGCCGTCCTCAGATGTGTTCACAGCCTCCATTAAAGAAGGAAAAACAGCTTCAGTCACTGGAATCAGCTGAAACTGACAAAAGTAATAAATAAAAACATCATGACGTTGTTTTTGATTGCGGTTCAACAGAAATATGTTTT